ACTGTCACTAAATGTATTAACATCAAATTCGGTCTCTTTAACAGTTTTTTTTTCATTTTCACATTGACTACACATGCACAGGTCTGTACAAGAAAGGGGGGTTGGGATGGCCTAGAGTGCCGCGCTTCGACCTCTAGCTGGTCGGTCACCTCTGGCTTGTGGCTGTGGCTTTGATCCCAGGTGTGAGCGTATGTGGCATGGAGATAGAGGCGTCTTCTCAACCTCGTGGGTTTCCTCCGGGCACTCCGGTTTCCTCTCACTGCTAAAGACCCATACGCGCAAGCGAATTATTGAAATAAAATTGAAACCGTATGTTAGTCCCAAAATGACCTAGTTTGTGTTGAGTGGACGTTAAACCCCATTTCTCTCTCTCTCTCTCTGTACAAGACAACTTTGCTGGCCATTTATGATTCTTTCTCTTATGACATCTTCACAGAATATATTGTATGTGGTTTAATATTCGACGGAGGGCTAGTCATCTTTGCTGAAAAATATAAATAAACATATACATGTACACAATTAAAACAAAATTCTGGAGCTTGGTTTACTCTCATTAATTATTATAATTATTCTTACATTGTTTGTATTCTATTTTAATAATGAACATTAAAACATGCTAATATTTGTTCATCCTTGCTGTATTGGGTTGGATGGCCGAATGGTTAGTGTGTGCATGCTGTATCATACGGCCTGCCATTAAGTCAACTGGCGTGGTCTCGAATCCCTGGTTGTACGTGGCAAGGAGTAGGGTCACCTGTCCATACTCCTGATTTTCTCCGGGTACTCTGGTTTCCCCCCACTGCTAAAGACCCCTACGCGCAAGCAAATTATTGAAATAAAATTAAACCATATGTTAGTCCCGAAATGACCTTGTTTGTGTTGAGTGGACGTTAAACCCATTTCTCTCTAATTATGTTTTGCATACAATGTATAAATACAAATGTAAAGGATGTAACTTTAAAATAGAAGAAAATCAAATATTTTTAATATTAAACAATTGCTTTGTTCTTATACTTCTACAATCATTCTCATGTTGTTCATTTTGCCATATTTTTGTTTATTCATTCATATGTCTTCTATATAATGATGCATAGTATAGTACACTATGTTAAAAAAATACTAGAAATGTATGTTTCTTTATCACCAAATGATTTATGTAAGTTGTGAAGTAAAACAGTTGAACATTAAATCCCATTTAAATTTATTTGCATAAGGTGAAGAGAAATAATGGTATTGAACAATTGACTATTCATGAAAGATACTAAAGAGAACTTTATTAATTTATACATACTTTTGCTAATTTTATTGTTATATCTTGGTAGTAACATACCAATATAAATAGTAATATTGTTTCTAGATGAAGACTATTATAATTGAAATGAAATGGGATTTCACATCATAATGCTATGCACGGACTGGGCTAATAATGACAAAAAACTACAATGAATACAATAGTATAAAATGTTGCTATGAAATTAAATAAATGTTGTATACAATAATTAACCGGTTTAATACTATATTATACATAAAAGTGAATGAAATTCAATGTTTACTATTTTGCTTTATACATGAATATCACAGGTCAAATTATTGAAATAAATAATGCAAATAGATTATGATTTGAAACATCTTGTATGTCATTGTTCTATTTGTTATATAAGACTACATGATATAAACTTTTTGATAAGCCTCTTTTATCATATTTTGAACCAATGGAATAAAGAGCAAAGACCTAGAATATATTGTAAATATAATCAAGTTTTTGATCAACTGATCAAAGGAAAATATTGCGAATAAATTTGTTGTACTGCTATTGTAAAGAAATCATCATTGTTTTATTTGATATTTAGAATACACATAATCGTGTATATATTTGAAGTTAAGAGCAATTATGATTAGTGATACCTGTATGACCAACTCTCAAAAGATAATCTCATTAAACCAAGTACTTTTTTTCATTTGTATTAGTTGATTTATACTGAATAAAGATAACACAAACAAACAAAAATGAGTTGGCTGTGTGAACACCTCAATGACAAGTGGTATCAGATGCCTCAGAGAGAATATTCAAATGCTCCTTGTGATACGTTTGTAACACAATTATAACCTAATGTATTACACGGGAGTGGAGTGGGTGGGTCGGGGGGCTTTTCGATTGGCAGGGGACTATTAAAATGGGTAAGCAGAGATAAGCAATTTGATGAAACTTTGTGTATAGTTTCATTACATTAGTACCTTGACCATATTACCTTGACCAAGTTCGACAATGAGTATTCTCTTAGTCAGGATAAGCAAAGCAACTTGATTGGCCGGGACTTTGAATTGGTTGATGCTTTGGGGTATGATAACTTTGGTTATAATGAAGTACTGGAACATAACAACCCAGCTTTTAATTGAGCTAGAATGTTTAAACTTGGTGTAGATGTTCATCAGGTCTTGACTGAACATTTTGAGCTACAGCTTGGCAATTTCATTGGTCGATGCTTTGGGACAAGATAACCTTGATTTCTATCTGACAGAGAGTGATGAAATTTACAGTATAGTTTGATTGCTCGATACTTTTGAAAAAAATATGAAAGTGCGATTAATTAATGTGTCATCTTTTACTTTGGGGTTTTGGCGGGAGACATCATCCATACTGTTTGCTTGTTTAATATCCCCTATACAATATACGCTCGACCTCATTACCCGAACTGGGGTAGAAAAGTGGGATCTTTGACAATGAGGCAATGAACTTGTACATTCTTTTGCAGCTGCACAAGAGGGAACATCAACGCCGGATTAACCATGGTGGTGGGGAGGGGGGCTGATACTGACCGTGAAGCCCCGCAAGGGGGTCGGGTCAGGGGGTTCTCCCGCTAAGAAATTTTAATTGGAGGCCGAAAACGTGATTTCATGGCATTTCAGGCACTTGTGTCGGAGCCATTTAGAAGTACCTCCCCCAGAAAAATAAAATTCTGCCACAAAATTAGCCACAATCCATGCGGGTGCTAAATGAGCAGAGCTACATCAAACCTAATTTTGAGTCCCTCAGTGATAAATAACTTGATTCAAAATCGTATTATAGCCCCAACGACGATTTGATGAATGGAGACCGTAACGTTACGACAAAGTCTAACACTGTAAGTACCAAATAGTCATACGAGATATGTGCATCTCATCAAATTCAGCTTATACCATACCCACAATAATGTTACGGAGTCAGTGAGTTCAAGTTAGACAATACGCTGACCTTCCACTGACCATGCTTATAATATAAAATCTGTCAATGACAGCTGATTCATTGTTTAGTTTTTTATATGATATATTTAATATCAATAATATATGTATATGCATGCTTTATTTTACTTTACACGACCTCTAAAAATGCCCCAAATCGTAAAAATACGACTTTTTGGATTTCGATCTCCTTTTTTCGGCTACCCCGGACATTTTCAAAAAATGATACAATGATTTCACACAACAGGCCAGCTATTAGCCTCTCGATTGACAAGAGTTTAATCGCCCTCCATTCATTATAACCAATGTCATCGTGCCCTAAAGAATCAACAAATCAGCTTGCTTATCTCTGCTTACCCTAGGCAAAAAATGCTCATCTTTGAACTCAATCATGACATTGACCTAGTGAACGCCTACACCAAGTTTGAACATTCTAGCTTAATTAGAAGGAGAGTTCTTGTGTTCCAAAGTCCCGGCCCTTCAAATTGCTTCTATTTTTCATTTTCAATTCAAAATGGTGACCATCACGTGACCGAAATCAAAATTCTGATCCGATAGATTTTTAGTCATTCCTTCCAGGATTCCGAAAATATGACGCCCGAGTCTGTAAGTAAAATAGCAAAAAAGCCTTTTTCATTTTTCACGTTTAAAGATGGTGGCACTTCCGGTTCGATCGACAAACTCCATATTTTGTGTACGAATCAATAATTACTTGTCTAGTATCGAATTTTTTTTTTAGGTCATTCTGACTTATATTTCGACGATTTTTTTGAAAACTTTGATCCTTAATTTCACCAAGGGGAGATAATTTAGAAAATTTCCAAGGACATCATTGAAGTCGCATTGGCAAGATCTACTAACATTCTAAATTTCACGAAAATCGCACAACTATTAAAGAAGTTGTCAAATTGGTAATAACTTCCGGTTCGAAATGACAGCGATGAATTTTCGAAATGCCAAAATCCGAAATTGCAGATTTGAAGTAAATGTTTCAAGATACTCAAAGAAAAAAGAATTAGTAAAATAGGTCAAATAGTCACAAAGTTACAGCATTGTAGGTCAAATGCATTCCTTCGTAAAATTCGGTGATTTCGGATTCGTAAAACGTTTTGAAAATATATTTAATCAACAGCCACCACCCATTTTTGGGGGGATAGGTAAAAGTTTCAGAACGATCCTATGGTTAGATTCTGAGAAATCCGATTTGTGGACAAAACACAAAAAAAAAATAACAATAATAATCTTAACAGAAACAATAAGCTTTCATATGTAATATGAAAGCTTAATAATCTTAACAGAAACAATAAGCTTTCATATGTAATATGAAAGCTTAATAATCTTAACAGAAACAATAAGCTTTCATATGTAATATGAAAGCTTAATAATCTTAACAGAAACAATAAGCTTTCATATGTAATATGAAAGCTTAAAAAAAACTTTTTGCAGGAAAAGTGGTTATCAATGACCAGGGTTAGGCTTAAATTTGACAATTGTTTGCTATTTCTCCTTTTTAAACATTTGCTCCCATCACACAAATCCTAAAATATGCATTTCAAGCAGGGGAAAAGGAAGATATATGGATACATAGAAAGAAGGACGTGGAGAGAGGGTTTTAACTCTACATGACTCAGACTAGGTCATTTTGGGACTAACATACACCACCATTTTAATTCAATAACTTGCTTGTCAGTAAGGGTCTTTAGCAGTGGGGATGCCGCAGAGAAAACCCATGAGGTTGGGCAGTTGACCCTACTCATTGGAAACTGAATCTAAACACATAATACTTTTAATATGATTTATTTAAGGTTAACATTTTTTTAAATTGAAAAATGAAAGAAAGAACAAAAATGCACATTTATGAAACATGAAATTGTAAAAAAGTAAAATTTGTTTCTAATGCAACTGATTTGTTATACCAGTACCATAAAACAGTAAAATTACAACAAGGCTTTTAAGATTTCATCCTACGAAATATTCAATTCAATTCAATTTAATTCTGAATAAATAAATACATAAATAAAATAAATAGATATTGGTTATTTATATAAAATAATAACAATACATGGCATTATATAATAGAAATTAAATAAATATTGGTTATTCATATAAAATAATAACAATAATATGGTATTATATAAGAATATTTGGAAGGTTTTTGCTAGCCGTTTCTTTTTTAGTGACAAACATATTATTTTTACAATTTCAAAAAGACAGCCTACTCGCAATATCGCATGACATTATGTCATATGTCAGTGATAATAAATTGGCCTAACATTTCACTTTAGTTTCTATGTGAATTATTCTTTGTTGATACAATATATATAATTCTGTTTTTTTTTTTAAAAAACGTGCGTTCATACGGTTTTATTTATGTCTGTCAATAATGCCGTTTCTTCAGGTCGATTTCGGTCCACTTTCTACAGATCGAATAATATCGGCTAAAATTTAATCATTAATATATTATAAACATGGGTAGTTTTATTTTCAACGTTATGTTGTAACCGATCTATGTAAAAAAAGACAGAATAAGCACATTTTCACGGAATGAAATCAAATAGCTACAGCGTTCGCCATAGGCATCCATGATGGATATTCAACTTCCTGTTTATCGCCATGTACCGTTATTTGCTGTATTTTTTACCTAATTCTCAATTTAACGCATGATTACGTCCAGGACAATTCGGTTTTTAATTTTTTATGAATAGAATATTCTCTAAAGTGTTGGAATTATGTTGGAATATTCCTGCGTAAAGAAATGTAAAATATTTGAATTTTTTAAAATTCTAGAATAGAATATTCTCTAAAGTGTCATAAAATTGTAAAATTATGTTGGAATATTCCTGCGTAAAGAAATGTAAAATATTTGAATTTTTTAAAATTCTAGAAAAAAATCGTTCCCCTCATCTGATACGGGTCCAATTGTCATATTCCACAGGCCCAACATTCTCCCGCCAAGATACACCATCCGCCAATAAAAATAAAGGTACGGTCAAACGTAATTCGATACCTACTTTTCCGCTTAAAATCATAACCAGTTTTTGGACCAAATATTAAGCCAAACAGAGTTAACTGCCCTTCAGCTTGTTACACGCTATCTCTTGCTCCTGTTGAAGGGTTCCGGGGTGATTGTCATCATCCATCCCATGTTATATTTTATTGTTCGCATGCCTATAAATTTGGAAGCAATAAATTTATACCAATGATACTTGACAGGTACACAACCTTAAAATTGATTAGTCAACATAGGTTAGTATCGACAAATATGCTTTCAAGATTTTGTATCCACCCATTTTTATGTGCTCGTTGTATTCCATCGCCCCTGCGTGTGTCTACAGGTCACAATTTGTTATCCGACTCTGATGAAACTTAAACTACATGTTGATATCTCAAAGATCTCCGATGGATTCAATTTTGGCATCTATCTCACGATAACCTTTTGGATGATAGCTCCTGATCGTACATAAGTCGCGCACATAGCTTGTGGATCCTCCAGAGGTCACAATTTTTATTCAATTTCTTTTAATACTTAAAATGTGTGTTTATATCCGAAAGATCTCGAATAGGATCAGTTTTGGCACATATCGGACCACAATTTCCTATCGGTTTACCCCATCCATCATCGTTCCCTTATCTTCCGTTTCGGAGTTATTCCCCTTTTCCGAGCCTGTACTTTTACATCTGAAGTATCATTTCCTTTTTCTCAATCCAATTTCAAGTGAAATAAGATATGGTTTATAAACATGGTGAATAGTATGAGACAAACTATACTCTTCACAAAAAGTAGGGGATATTGAAATGCAAATACCTATGCAGGTTGTGATCGATAGATAGTCATGGACACTTGACATGCTTTGAGAGTATATTCACAGATGAAGAACTTATCGCCCCAACAGAACCACTGAGCTGCACATGCGACACGCAATAGCACCATACACGTGGGAGGGGTTCATTGTCAAATTTGACACTTCAAGGAAAGGTTGATGAAAACTGCCCCGTGCTGGTTTATCTATCAATGTTTGCTTTCCTATCGGTTCTTGCATAAGATTTACTGTCTAGCCTATCTTTGCTTTAGTGTGTTACGCTTAATTTGATCGGGAGACGTGTTCTTCGACGTCAACATCAACCGACAACACTGACTGCAACAATTGGCCGTGGCATTGCAAGAAGAGTGGGTCGAATTGCCCCAAATCATGATTGGGCGGTTGATTAGGAGCATGCCACGACGAATTGCTGAATGTCTGAGGATTCGTGGAGCAATTACTCATTATTAAGACAAAAATCAAAAACGTCCATTTTCACTTTTGACGGAGTATCTTTTTGCGAGTGAAATGGGGCCGTCAGATAAGCCGCCCATATGAAATGTCATATGTAGGCAATTGGCCTGTTCTTCTAATAAAAATTTTTCTCTTTTAAAAAGTCTAATAGTTTGCAATATAGACCCGGTTTGGCAAATAATTGATTTAATGATTGGCAACGGTAATAATTAGATCTGATGTCCTTAAGAAACTTGCACTCAATCAGAATGTGCTTAACTGTCAAAGAAACATGACAGTGTTGACATTCTGGTTGAGGCTCTAGCTTTAAGATGAAAATGTGTGTTAAAAAGTATGACCTATTGTCGATCAAAATTTGTCTCTTTTAAAAAGTCTAGTAGTTTACAATACAATATAGACCCGGATGGGCAAATGATAGACTTAAAGACTGGCGACGGAAATGCTTTGATCTTATGTCCTTGAGAAACTTGCACTCCATCAGAATGTGCTTAACTGTCAAAGAAAGATGACAGTGTTGACATTCTGGTTGAGGCTCTCGCTTTAAGATGAAAATGTGAGTTAAAAAGTATCACCAATGCGAGAGCGACACAAAACAACTTCATCCCTCTTGCTGGTTCTATACTCCTAAGAGTGGCTTAATGTGATGAAGTTTATTTGTGTCTGCAAGATCCTAAGACCGTTGCCAGCGGCCATGTATAAAATGATTAATGCACAATTTAAAATCATGATATGGTAATTAAAACTGAGATATGGGAAGATCTAAAGCAGACTTGGCAGCCAAATCTGCTAAATCATTCCCTTTTATATCAGTATGACTTGGGAGCTTGCAAAGGACAATGTCCACGTTGGGGTCCGAAAGAAATGGGTATTCGCAATATTGCCAAGGCTGATACCAGCGTCAGACAAATGGTGAAATAACTTTAGTTTTAAGCAGATATTATATATACTAATGCGAAATTAAATCAATATAGAATTATTGATGAGATCTGACAAAGTATAGACAATGACATGAAATGAAATGGGGTTTAAAGCCCTGCTATTCTGCTAATGAAGACGGATCGCGGTGCTTGGGCAAAGCCTATTCCGGTAACACAGTGTAACTGAAACTCTTAATAGACAGATGGCATAAAAGCGTATACACTGGAACATAAAACAGGCGATGCACATGTCAACATATTCAAATTAAATATTGACGTCAATAAAATTAATTCTGACACTTGTTTTGCTATAACAAAATTAATTCAATTCTCGTATACAATTTAATTCACAAACAATTTTGAATTTCACATAAGGAGGTTTTATCTTTCAGCTTCGTTCTACTCGGGCAATGCCTGTTACATATTCTGTTTTCAGTTAGGTAAATTTGCTTGCATTGTTGGTATAGTTAAAATATTTATATTATATTTTTGTGTTGTTAAGTTCGAGGATCGTTTAATGTAAGAGGGAAATAGGTCTTACAAAAGAATTTTTTAAGTTTAGTTTTTATGTGGGAGAGTTTTACAGGATGAAGGTAAGTATCATTTGGTTTAAAAAGTTCTGGTATTTTATTTCTTTTGCCATCATACCACAGATATTGTCCTTCTAAATTAATGAAATTATTTTTATCTTCCAAACCGCTCACTAAAGTTGCTATAGCTATTTCTAAAAATACTTTACATTCAGCAAACAAATCCAAGAAGAATATTGTATCTTTCTTGTATTTGCTAGGTATATACAGAATATCAGACCATCCAGCCATAGCACCATCTTTAGATGCATTATTTGCAAGAAGCGTGTGTACAAATTTATCCACAACTGGTTTAAGGTCGCCATTTTCAGTAGACAGATTGTGCATAAGCGTCCATACTTTGTTCATTGCATTTTGACCAACGTGTGTTTGCCACCAATACACTGAACTTTTTTTGCCCTTGTAAAGCCGAATAATATCAGAACGGAACCATATCATGTCCAATGGAAATTTGTGAATGTTCCAAGAATTGAGTAGTGTGTCGTCTCCTATAAATAGGTATCCTTGAACATCGAAATTCATTTTCATAGCGGCACTTAAACAGGTATACGCACAATAGCCTTCATCAACCACAGATTCAACAAAGGTCACTTTATTAGTAAAATGTTTGGATGCGTTTAGAAAACGTTCGATGTTTGGACCACAATAGACAATATGTGCAAACGTTACGCCGTACATTAACTGTAAGTAAGGTATATTATCATAAAAAGGAAAATTAAACACAACTACTAGCAGTATATCAGGGGAGGTCACAGAAGCCAGACTCGTGCTTTTTATTTGGTAAGAAGTATCTTTACAAAATGAAGTCATCCCCAAAACATGGTTCCATTTCGATTGTTGTCGTATTTTTGGGTTCGCGCTTTCCACTGGTTCATATATTACTGAATTGGTGTGGTTTGTTATATTCTGATGTGTAAACGGTTTTCTTTTCGGCTCTTTATAACTTGAATCTTTCAGTTCGTGTATCCAAGCTTTAACAAGTAGGTGGTCGTGTTGCTGCCAATATCCATCTTCAGCTAACTTTTCACTCAACAAAGAAACACACTGGAAAAATGTTCGTTCAACTGGACATTTCCACTGTATTAGAAAGTCAACTAACTTATTAGGATCAAAATAAGACCCTTTTGAATCTTCTATCAGCGCATACGATCTGCTATTTCTAATTTGATACGTATTTGGAGGATAACAACCGACAGATCCTCCAATTTCCCACAGCAGACGCTGTGCCCAATATCCTCTTATTACGTCAGAATGTTGGTGAGACGGCGTGACCGGTAGAACCATGGCCCATAAGGCCTTATACCGGAAAAGCGTATTCTGGCTGTTTATCGCAGTAAATACTAGAGGCGGGATGACAACAGGGGGCTTTGCACTATCAAATGAAATATTTAAAGCTTTAATTGTTGATTTTAAAGTCCGTCGAAAAACGGAATCAATGTCTGGGTCACCGTTACTTAGTATCTGTAATATACTTGGTTTCTTGAAGTCAGACACGAAATAACTATTTGTCCCATTTTCACTTATTTTATTTAATGGAAAGCCCCTAGGCCATATTGTTGATTGTCCGAAATGTTTAAACGGATTAAATATGACTCTTCCATTATATTGTAATCCGTATTCGAATGATTCCGGGTTCACAAGATCATCTAAATCTGTTAATAACTGTATTGTATCATCTAAATCATAAATCGTCTCTGCACCGTTGGAAATGGCATACAGATAGCCAATTATTTTACGAGAATAACTTTCAGTTGGAATTAATTTAGAAATATAAACATGTTGTTGTTCAGTTAAACTAAGATAAGTACAGTTGGTCAATCTAAGAGAAAGAAAGAAAGAAATTAAATATGTGTAGATAACATTGTTCATACTTTATAAACTTAACTATTGCCGAGTGTCTTCCTGGCTTTAAATGTTATATAAATTATTATTTAGACCTTTATTCACAATAATCAACTCTCTAAGCTATCGGATAGCTTACATATTGAGTGGATTAGAAATGCCCTACATATTTGCGTTGACCGTTAATGTGGCTGGCTGGCAAGGGCAAGTGCTGATGAAAGGGCTGACAATCGAGACGTCGTTAATTATCATGACAATCAAAGTCTAAGTACATATGGAGCCGGGGTAGAGGTCTCAAACTCAGACAATAATTATTCCACGTATTATAATATACACTTACTTCCAGTCTTTTGGTGTATTACTATTTTCTACCACAAGTAGTTTCCATTCTGGTAAATTACTCATATATTTCATAGCATATGTAGGCTGAACATTCGTTGTTACAACAATCCAATTACTGAAGGTCTCATTTTTACGAAATGTTGAGCTACGAACAAAAAATATGTCTACATGACTGTGGGTTAAAATAGATTAAGAGCATTTACGAAATGAAATAAGTGCATAAATATACTATTCAAAAAAAGTAGGGGATATTTGATTTTGGGGGCATAATACTAAAATATGCAAATGACTACGAAAAAAGTCACTATAGAACCTAACAGAAGAAACATTTCCAGTTACATGTGACGCCCAAACGCACCAATAGCTACCGCATGGAATGCAGGTGATGCTTGGGATCATCATGGGGGTCCAACCCAAGATTTGCACGACTCTGACTTTGAATGTTACAGTCATTGTGGCATTGAATTCCAGGGTGGAAACATCAGTTTAATTGTTTTAGTGACCAGAAAACAAATTTTGATATGCGTCGGCTTACCCAAAATGAAAGGTTACGTGCCCTTGGCATGCTACAGATCGACACAACACAGGCGGTTGTGGCGCGGACGATGAATGTTTCTCAGTCTGTCATAAGCAGGCTATGGTCCAGATACCGTGATACACAATCTGTACAGGACAGACCACGCTCAGGTCGACCAAGGGCGACAACTCAAGCCCAGGATCGATTTATCCGTACCTTGGCCTTGAGAAATCGTGTCATCACAGCAAATCAGATCAGCGCTCGTCTTCAAACAGACACTGGTGTGACAGTGAGTGGCCAGACGATTCGTTATCGACTGCATAGGGGTCACCTTCGCGCCCGACGTCCTCGCGTGATCCCTTGTTTGAGAGATCATCACATTCAGGCAAGACGTCGTTGGTGTAGGGATCGTCAACACTGGGATAATCGACGCTGGAGCAATGTGATGTTTTCAGATGAGTCAAGGTTCACTGTTGATTTTTTGGACAGACGTAGGAGGGTGTGGCGTCGTCGAAACGAGCGCTTCCAAGACGTTAACGTCATCAGACATGATCGATTTGGGGGTGGTTCTGTTATGGTGTGGGGAGGCATCACTGTTGCTGGAAGAACGGCTTTACATGTTGTTGCAGGGCGTTTTACAGGCCAGTACTACCGGGACAACATCTTGGCAGTCCATGTTGTGCCGTTCGCACGACGTCATGGCCGCCGTTTCATCTTCCAGGATGACAACGCAAGATGTCACAGGGCCAGAATCGTTACAGGTTACCTCCAACAACAGAACATCACCACATTACCTTGGCCAGCAGTGAGTCCCGACCTCTACCCCATCGAGCATGTCTGGGACATGCTTGGACAGAGGTTACGTCAACGTCAACAACGTCCTGCCAATGTCCAAGAACTTGCTGCTGCGTTGCAACAGGAATGGGACAATCTGGACCAAAATGACCTTAGACGTCTCATTAGGAGTATGCCACGTCGGATCAATGCTTGTTTGGCAAACAGAGGAGGATTTACCCGTTACTGACTTGGTTGTGATGCTGTGGTAACTTTGCTGTTTGACCCCGGGTATCATTTTACCCTTATAATGGTCAGTCTGTGCCTTACTTAGTCTAACGATCATTTGGAATAAATCGATGAATGTGAACTTCATTTCATTTTGTCATTTGTTTCTTCGTCAGTTTCATTAGGTGACTTTAATAACACTTAAAAATCAAATATCCCCTACTTTTTTTGAATAGTATATATACTAGTAATAGACAAGCCAACGCTGAGGCTGATGTCCCTTGCCGAAAACCCGAAATAAATAGATGACACATATTAATTAATTGCACGTTTATCACTTTCAAAAGTATCGAGCAATCAAACTGATTATCAACTATTCACTAATCATTGAACTCGGTCAAGACATGCATCTAATGAACATCAACATCAAGTTTAAACATTCTACCTAAATTAAAAGCAGAGTTGTTATGTCCCAATGTCTTGACCAATCCAATTGCTTATCGCTCCTTAGGCTAAGCAGAAAATTCCCATCAAACTGAATCTATACTCGGGAATTTCATAGCTCGCGCTTAATTATCGTGCCCAAAAGCATCTACCCATCAAATTGATTATCTCTGCTTACCGTACGCAGACAATGTTCATCATCGAACTCCACCAACGCATTCACCTAATAAACACCTACACCAAGTTTAAACATTCTACCTCAATTAGAAGGAGAGTTATTGTGTTTCAAAGTCTCGACCAATCAAATTGTTGATCACTCTGCTTACCCCAAGGTGAAAATGTTCATTATCGAACTTAGTCAAGGTATGGATGTCATGAAACTATTCACAAAGTTTCATCACTCTCACTTACTTAGAACTAAGGTTATCGTGTCCCAAAGCATCAACCAATCAAATTGTTTATCTCTGCTTACCCTTACCATAAAATTATCATCTTTGTACTCCATCAAGGCATTCACCTAATAAACACCTACACCAAGAGTGAACATTGATGCTCTATTAGAAGGAGAGTTACTGTGTTCCAAGGTCTCGACCAATCAAATTGCTCATCGCTCTGCTTACCCTGAGCAGAAAAATGTTAATTATCGAACTTGGTCAAGGCATTGATGTATTGAAACACCACGTTTTGTCACTCTCACTTAACTAGAAGTAAAGGTATTGTGTCCCAAAGCATCAACCAATCAAATTGCTTACATCTTCTTACCCTAAGCAGAAAATGCTCATCTTCGAACTCCATCAAGGCATCAACCTCATACACACCTACACCAAGTTTGAACAGTCTAGCTCAATTAGAACAGACAGACAGACGGACGAACCCATTTTAATAGTCCCGTTTTCTTCGAAAAAGGACAATAACAGTAAATAAGAGGCGTATCTACGATATGGCGCGAAGTGCCAGACTGGTTGGCCGAAGGCTCACACAAGTACCCGCCGAAGGCGCGCGACCGTCCGAGGGGGGTCTGGGGAAAATTTTGAAAATTGACAACCGCAAAAACATTTTCCAAGCATTTCAGACCAAAGCAGAAGAAGGCAAATTTTTGATTTCCTGATACAATTAGATAACAGAATGACCTAAGAGCACTATCATTAGATGAATTTGAGAATCTACACTTCTTTTTTGTGTTGTTTGTAAGTCATTTTTGTCCCATCTTTTCTTTCTCCTGTCCTGTGCTCTCTTTCCTTCTATCTTTTTTTTCCTCCCCCTCTCCTTTCTTTCTCTTTTCTTTCTCTTTTTTCTTTATAGTATTAGGCTCACTTTTTTTAATGAGCTGTCCACGGACAGGTGGACCCAGTCCGGCACTGATGGCACGTGCCCTAAATAACTTCATGACGTTAAATTTACGTTCCTGTTTTAAACGTTAATTTAACGTCAGAGGTCTTTTATCGGGGTTCGATAAAAATATAAGAATGATAATGTATCAATTAACTGGGTCAGACTCATGAAACATATCATAGTAATACGACACTCTTAAAATTACCCGCCTACATGTAGGCCTTACCTCCAATAAATGTATAAGATTTAGTTTTGTTTAGTTTTACAACTTATATAAATACAACAATAGCTACAGCGCACTCTACGGATGACATTGATGGGTAATTACAACTCATTGACTTAAGCAATAGTTTATTCAAATAAAATGGGATTAAGATCATTACTTAAAAGAAAGATTTCACAAGTCTTTAAAGATACATTATGGGATATTCGATAACGAGTTGGCAGTTCTCACTATAATTATTAAAAACTAGATAATGTAAAGGCAATACGTTAAACAGCATAGTCTCGATTATCCATTTAATCGTTTAATCGAGAAGGAAAGTTATGCAGTAAATCGGATCACAATCCACTTACGATCGCAGGCTAGCGATGCCATCTAGAGTTGATTAAGGTCTGGATAAGTTAATTAATGTCTAATTAATAATTTAGATAACATGTCAGACAGATTTAGCTATTGCATAATGTATGTTTAATAAAAGTTTTTATTAAGATTGTTCAATATTCATATCCTTTAACAATGGTTGAATAATACAGGTATATTTTCGAGCACTTCATGCATTGATTTCTAAGGTGTTATTTAGTCTCATTCTCAAAATTGTTTATATTTTTAATAACAGTTTACTGTTAAAGACCCTGTACTGCAATTAAGTTTTGTGCAAACTATTGTCTTTTCCCCATTCTCCTCTCCTTGGCACATTGAAGTCAATACTCAAACACAGCACAAACACCCAATCATACACTTATACCTTAATTTCCCGAAATGATCTAGTTTGTGTCGAGTGGACGTTAAACTCTCTCTCTCTCTCTGGGGGTTGGATGACCGCTGTAGCACGAGCGCTGTATCATAAGGTCCGTTCATTGAGTCAGTTGGAGTGGTTTCGATTCCCGGTTGTACGTGACAAGGAGTAGGGTCGTCACTTTAAAACAATTTAGATCAAATATCAAAATTCAAAACGTGCCGATCGATTGCGAATTGAGAATGCTTTCCAAAAACATGACGATATTTCATATGAAAGCTTAATAATGTTTATTGTTTTAAGACCATTACACGTTTGTCTCACTAGTCTGTACATATAAAATCCAGCATTATAAACGGTAATTAATATAAACATAAAATAGTTTTTAAGAGCAAAAATGATTTTTAAAAATATAAGTTTTCGGGTTTGATTTAAAAAGAGAAAGTTCCGTAAAAGATCTCAGATCTAATGGTAAACTATTCTACAGTTTTTGCGCCGCGCTGTTGGGGCGTTTTCTTCCCATGTCCTTTCAAAGAGAAATGCGTCAGCTTCACTTCAGTACTACTCTTAGTACGATATGTTGGTTTACAGACCTTAATGTCAGTGAGGTAACGAGGCGCTGACTCACCATGTGTAGAAATATTGTCGTTGCGACCATGTTTTCAGATTTATGGACAAGGAATAGAGAAAAATGATGGCATTATATTGTATTAATTAATATCTTTGGCAAATTATAAGATTCACATATATGTAATTAAATGAGTGGCATATCTATATATATATTTGTGACTGTCGTTTGTCTTTCTGTCTGTCTGTCTGTTCGGGGTTGGCGGCTACACTAGGTTCTGCCCCGAGTCTGAAATTTGGGGTATAGGGGTAGCTCGGACCGGG